GGGATGTTCCACAGCTCTGTTCCCACCCCAGGTCCTGGAAGGACTCTCAGGGTGTTCCACAGCCCCATCTCCACCCTAAATCCTTACAGGGCTCTGAGGGATCTCTCCATGTTCCCATTCCCACCCCAGGTCCTGGCAGGACTCTCAGGGACCTTCCACAGCCCCATTGCCACCCCAGGGCTCTCAGGACCTTCCCATGTTCCCACTCCCACCCCAGGTCCTGGAAGGACTCTCAGGGACCTTCCCATGTTCCTGTTCCCACCCCAGGTCCTGGTATGGTTCACAAGAGATGTTCCACAGCCCCGTTCCCACACCAGAGCTCTCGGGGATCTCTCCATGTTCCTGTTCCCACCCCAGGTCCTGGCAGGGCTCTCAAGGGACATTCCACAGCTCCACTGCAACCCCAGGTCCTGGCAGGGGCCTGTCCATGTCCCCATTCCCACCACAGGTCCTGGCAGGACTCTCAGGGACATTCCACAGCCCCATTGTCACCCCAGGGCTCTCAGGGACCTGTCCATGTTCCTGTTCCCACCCCAGGTCCTGGAAGGACTCTCAGGGTGTTCCACAGCCCCATCTCCACCCTAAATCCTTACAGGGCTCTCAGGGACCTTCCATGTCCCCATTCCCACCCCAGGTCCTGGCAGGGCTCTCAGGGATATTCCACAGCCCCACTGCAACCCCAGGTCCTGGCAGGGGCCTGTCCATGTNCCCTGTCCCTGCTCCCTTCCCAACCCCCTCTGAGCAGCTGGAACCTCCAGGCCTGGGAATTAAAATTCCCCTTTAAATCCCTAAAGATTCCTCTTTAAATCCCTAAAATCTCCCCTTTATAGCCCTAAAAATTCTCCTTTAAATCCCTAATAATTCCCCTTTAAATCCCTAAAAATTCCCCTTTAAATCCCTAAAAATTCCCCTTTAAATTCCCTTTTATATCCCTAAAAATCTCCCCTTTAAATCCCTAAAAATTCCCCTTTAAATCCTTAAAAATTGCCCTTTATATCCCTAAAAATTCCCCTTTAAATCCCTAATAATTCCTTTTTATATCCCTAATAATTCCCCTTTAAATCCCTAAAAATTCTCCTTCACATCCCTAAAAACTCCTCAATCCCCTCTCTGCTGCCCCATGTACCTGCAGACTTACTAGGGCTGGGCGTGTTTCTTTCCCTAAAAATTCCCCTTTAAATCCCTAAAATCTCGCTTTTATAGCCCTAAAAATTCCCCTTTAAATCCCTAATAATTTCCCTTTATATCCCTAAAAATTCTCCTTTAAATCCCTAATAATTCCCCTTTAAATCCCTAAAAATTCCCCTTTATATCCCTAATAATTCCATTTTATATCCCTAAAAAATCCCTTTTATATCCCTAAAAATTCCCCTTCACATCCCTAAAAATTCCCCTTCACATCCCTAAAAACTCATCAATCCCCTCTCTGCTGCCCCAGGTTCCTGCAGTCTCACTGGGCCTGGGTGTGTTTCCATCCCTAATAATTCCCCTTTATATCCCTAAAAATTCCCCTTTAAATCCCTAAAAATTCCCCTTTATATCCCTAAAAATTCCTCTTTAAATCCCTAAAAACTCCCCTTTATATCCCTAAAAATTCCCCTTTCTATCGCTAATAATTCCCCTTTAAATCCCTAAAAATTCCCCTTTAAATCCCTAAAAATTCCCCTAAAATCTCCCCTTTAAATCCCTAATAATTTCCCTTTAAATCCCTAAAAATTCCTCTTTATATTCCTAAAACCTCCCCTTCAGTCACTAAAACCTCCCCAGCCCCTCTGTGGTGCCCAGGCAGTCCCAAGCATGGCACGATCTGCCTTGGAGCCCCCTGGGATCTCCCCCATCCCCAGCACCCCTGGGCCCTGCCCGCTGTG